CTTGCCTCCAAGAAACAGCCTGGTTTTACCCTCTCTAGGATTAACCAGTTTGTTCTAGCAGTCTATGGTATATTCAATACTCCAGCACAACAGCTCAAAGGCATCAATTCTCTATCCCTAGTCATTGTCCAGCTTTCTGACGCATAGCAAGTAATTGTGAAGACTACGGCCTGGATCTATATTAAAATTAATAATTACCTTTTGTAGCCCAGCTAATAGGAACTCTGGTGACACAACTTTTGAATGCTCAGTTGCTAACCAAAAGGTTGGCAGTTTGAAACTAACCAATAGCTTTGCAGAAGAAAGGCCTGATGATCTGCCAATGACTATAAGCTTAAATCAATGCAAACTCTGTGGGGCAGTTCCACTCTATCCTAGCAGGTCAGTGTGAGTCAGAATTGACTCAAAGGCACCCAACAACACTTCCAGTTAATTGGTCCTCTACCCATGAGGGTGCATACATTTCTCTTTGGACACCATTAATACAAAGGCATTTGGGAAAGTGACATTTTCAAGTTTCATCTGCTATTTTATAGTATTAGAAACACTTTCTTGCTTTTTATTATTGAAGAGTGTTGAGGCTTCCTTTCCTAGAAGGGAAGTGTACAGTGGGCCCCTTCTGTGTTCTGTGTGTCAGATTAACTGAACGGTATTGTAGATTTTGTTCACTTCTAATCAGCTGTCCATCCTCTGGAGCCTGTGCCCCATGAGATGAGGTCTTAATTTCTGTTGTTACATGCCATGAAGTTGACACATAGTGCCATGTGAACAATATGTTCTGAACAATATGTTCAGAACAATAGTTCTGAACCCTGACCTATCCTGAGTCAGTCTCACTGTTTCTGATACATCTGACCCCACTGCCACAGTCACTGGCTCAATCCATCTCATCCAGGGTTTTCCTCTCCTGTGCTGACCTTCCACCCTTCCAATCATGTTCTTCTCCAAGGGTTGGTCCCTCCTGACAACATGCCCAAAACCTATGACAGAGAGCTTAAAACTCCTTGCCTCCAAGGAGCAATCTGGTTTCAGCCTTTCCAGAACAGACCTGTTAGTTCTCTTGACAGTCCATGGTATGTTCAATACTCTTCTCAGCACCACAACTCAAAGGCATAGATCTTTTTCTGTCATCCTTATTCATTTTCCAGCTCTCAGGTGCATAGAAAGTAATTGTGAAGACCAGGGCCTGGATTAGGTACACCTTAGTCTCTTTAAGACTGACATTGTTTCTCTTTATCCCTCTGGAGAGGTCCCTGACAGCAGATTTTCCCAGTTCAATTTGTCTTTTTATTTCTTGACTGCTAGTGCCAAGAGTGTTGATTGTGGGTCTGAGCAAGCTGAAATTGTTAACAGTCTCAATCTTTTCTCCATCTATTATGACACTGCCTATTGATCCAATAGTGAGGATCTTTGTTTTCTTGATGTTGATCAGGTTTTGTGCATGGTATGGAGCACTAATGCATATGGAACAACTGAACTTAGAAAATTTTATTTTGTGCATTCAATAGGCCATCGTGTGTTCATCTAATGAACTAGTTCATATTTGGTAGGCAGTAAATTTTAAAATAATGTAACACAATTATTTCTCTCACCCACAGACTACATAGATCTTTTCCTGTAGCCAAAACAACATGTTGTTGTTGTTGTTGTTTTATGTGCCATCAAGTTGTTTGCGACTCATAGCAACCCTATGTATAAGAACCCTAAACTCTGTTCTATCCTGTGCCAACCTCGCCGTCTCAAACACATTCATTCCTACCACTCCACTCACAGAATTGATCCATCTCATCAAGGGTCTTCCTCTCCTGTGCCATCCCTCCACTCTGCCAAACATGAT